CTGCCGATCCTACGGTAGCTAGGACCAAGGACCCATGTGAGCAGCCTCCTGCCATGCCTCAGGTCAACAGCCTCCACATGCCTCTGATGCCTGTGTTCTCCAGCAGGGCCCACATGGTCTTGAAGGAAAAGACAGAGACCTCTTCCCCAGAGAAATTGCACTAGTCACCCTGCTCCATTGAGGCCCCGTGGCCCCTGGATCCGTGACCTTCTGTAGCTTGGAACAGGCTTCTCTGAAGCAGAGCCTGTCTGGCTGACAGTAGAATTCTAGGAAAGCATGAGCGTGCCCATTCAGTGACCTCTGGGGGTGAGCATCAAAGCTTTCCTCTTTGCCGAGAAGCATCTGCCCTCAGACTTGTGCCCTTGGACCACGTCAGGTGATGGGGCAGTGCCCATGCCTGGAAGTCACTGAGAGCTGGCACCTGTCCCATCTGCTGGACTCTCAGAAGGTGAATTGGTATTAGCTGGGCTCCCTCATCTGGTATCCGGCTGTAGCGATGGAAACAGATTTTTGCTTCCAGCAAAGACAGAATATGTGGGATTGGACTTGTCTCCTCAAAAATAAAGAAGCAGTTGAGAGAGAGAGAGAGAGAGAGAGAGAGAGAGAGAGAGAGGAGAGGCGCACCGGTCAGTCAGGGAAGAGTGGGGAGCCCCAAGGGGCAAAAACAATCGAAGAGAGTCAGTGAGCTGCAGGGCTGGGAAGAGAACCTAGGCAAGTTTGGGAGTCTCCTGACGGGAGGAGATGGAGCCAGGAGTCTGTAAAAAGGTAAAGAGTGAGCCCCGTGGCCAAGCATGGTGGTGCCCACCTTTAATCCCAGCACAAGGGAGGCAGAGGCAGACAGATCTCTGAGTACGAGGCCAACCTGGTCTACAGAGAGAGTTCCGAGACATCCAGAGCCACACAGAGAAACCCTGTCTGGAAAAACTGAAAAGGAAAGATGAGCCTTGGTCAGTGTGCACAGGCTCCAGGACAGAGCCACTTGTGTACAGGGTGGAAAACACCTAGCTGGAGACCTGGAAATGACACAGGGTACTGGCAGAGTTCCCTTAGTAGTTCAGAATGATTAACCTGAACTTAAACGACACCCAGCAAAGTCCTGAAAGCAAAACCGAGAAGGAAGGCACCATCTCAAGGCGACCAAATGTCAAGAACATTTCATTGGGCACAGAAGGACCTCAATCTGTACCGTGTGTAATCCGAAGAAAGACTGGAAAGGGCTGAGGGCAGGGCTCAGCAAGGAGTATTAGCTTAGCACCCTGGAGGCCCTAGGCTCTGTCACCACACCGCTATATAAGTCAGCAACCAAGCAAAGGATACAGAGAAATACAGCCCATAATGAGTCCATCAAAACCAAAGAAATGACATGAGAGAGAGGTGG